GTAAAAATACAGTATAAGTCATTATAATCCGTAATTATGTCCCCACTGGATGCAACTAATGCGTCGTTTATAATGGGTTTTAATGTTTATGTCTCGTCGCTCCGGCTGGACATGGCATCAACAGTTGTGAGGGGCGTAACATTTCCGTCTCATGCTTGAGGTATTCGGCCAATCACAACGCACTGGATAGCTGGATAGCCAATCAGAGCACACCTCGTTTTTCAGACCGATGAGTTTTGTAAAAATCGACGCGTTTCAGAAAGGCGGGGCATAGAGGAGAAACAATAATGTACAGTATGTGGAAAATAATGTGTTTTTTGAACCTTAAACCACATTAAACACATTTCATTACACCAAATACACAAAATAATGTTCTTTTTAGCAACATCATATGACCCCTTTAAAGACTGGATAAGGATTTAATTTTTTTTTTATAGAAATCACACTCACAAGAGTAAACTTTAGCCAATGAAATTTTGAACAGAGCATAAAAAAAAACATGTTGCTCAATGAGACGCCACCTTCAATGTCTTTTTCTTGATGTGGCGAACACCTCTGCGGTTGGGATGGTGTTGGCGGTGAACCCAGCGCAGGAAGTCCACTTTGACTGCATGTTGGGACAATCGGTCCTGGAACTGATCGAAGAGCTGGCAACGCGTGCTGAGGGTCACGTTATTTTGGTTTAGCTAGAATGTAAAGACAATGTGTTCATTTTATAGTCCATGATTTCATGAGTGTGTAAGGAAATCATAAACTAAAAGTAAAGACAAAATTCAATGAGCTACTTGAATTTTACTATTAAAAGTGACAAATACTACATAAACTCAACAGATAAAGAAAACTCTTATTATTGGTGGCAAAATAATAATATGCGGTGTTAAACATCCCTAACATGAGCAACAAGTGATCAAAGACAAGACACTAACCACCATGTGCTCTGCGTGGTTGGGACACATCCATCTCCCAGTAGGCATGGCAGTGAGAGGGGGGTCCAGGCAGTCCATGTGGAACAGGAGCGCACAGTAATCACACTGGATCAGAGGAGCTACCCTGCAGCTCCTATGGAGCAAAAAGAGAGAGGAACCTGATATACTGTGCAACAATACTGACAACAATCAATATGGACTCCATTAGAGATGCATGGACATTAAAATTCTGTCACAGTGATATTTTAATATTATTCATATACTATTATAGATAGTATTTACAAATAAACATAACTGCTCCACAGAGCTTGTTTTACTTATAAATTAAAAAAACCCTATTAAGGAAAATCTTAAGGGAAACCATGGCAAATTAGTCTTCTGGGTTTTGACATCATGACAGCAGAATTCTATTTCATGTTTCTGGGCTCTTACTTGCCACAGGTAAAGCACACTTTCACTGGTAGAGGAACCAGGCCGCTGGGATCCAGCTCATGTTGTGGCCTCTTTACATTCTTGCCCATTGCCTCCTCTTTCCTTCTGCGCTTACTGCTGCCTGTAGATACACACAAATACAGTTTAACTATAAGCACACTTTAACCACTTAACACAATAGTGTGGGCAAGCATCACCTGGCAGTGAAGTGGTGCACGTAAGCTCACTGGGCAGCTGAAACTGCGTGGGGTTTCTCTCCATGGCTGCGGCGATCAGCAACTGAAAAGGTTTCTTCAGGCGAGGTGTGGCACTCTCAGACTCAGAGCCCTGCACTTCCTCTTCAACGTCCATCAGGTCCTCATCCACGTCATTGTGTTCTGACGGTGTAGGCGTGTTGGTGGACGCATTTGAAGTGGGTGTACCAGGGCGGCTGCTTGTGCGTCGCTCGAGAAGACGGACTTGCGCGACGGCAAGCCTCAGGCCTCCTGACGTGGCAGAGGGCAGCCCGTCCAGACGCAGTGTTCCCAGCTCCAGCTCCGCTGCAGGGGAGGAAGACCGCTTGGACAACTGCTGCTCCAACGCCCCATTCACCTGCTCCGCCTTCTGCTCATGCTTCTAAAGAACCAGAAAATTACACACTACAGCTCTGTTCCTAAAACTAGTAAGCAAGGTTGCTAAGTAGTGGTCGACCGATATATCGCCAAGGCCGATATATCGGCCGATATTTCACATTTTTAAAATACGGCATCGGCCGATACGTTTTCCTGTTTGGCCGATGCGTTCAAGGGCGGGACTTTTATTTTGACGGCGCTGACAGCAGCAGCGCCTGAGCACAGTGCTCACATTCTCCCTCTTGTTCGCCGTCGTCGTTAACAGTTCTGTCTAATACGGATAGAAGTCTGTCTAATAATCAGATAGAACGGTTAAACAAAGGAATTAAAATGTATTCAAAAAGTATTATAACGATTGCTTTTATATTATTAGTAATAGAAAGGCAAACATTATAATACTTTCTTGTTTGCCGTCAGCATTCAGCAAATACGCATTTATATCATTTAAACAAATCTTGGACTGACTAATGAACATTTAATTTCACAAACCTCGAATCCAGTTGTGAGATCTTGTGAAGTGTGCATGTGACCTGCATGATCACATGTTCTCTGCGTGACGGTCGGTCCGTGTGAATTGAATGCTGACAGGAGGAGAGTTCAGCTTGACTGGAGACCATCCAATCCATTTTCAAATTATTTAAAATTTCTTAAATATAAATGAAAATAAATCAAATTATATCGGCTTTTTATCGGCCATCGGCATCGGCTGTCAAAAAACCCGTATCGGTCGACCACTAATCAGGATGTGAATGGAGTTCGTTTTCAGAGCTGTTAGCAAACCTTATATTCACATATACAGACATATGCATGTGAAATACTTCTGTTTATACGTTAATGCGTGACAGTAATCATCCAAATACTGTTTTCCTGCTGCTAAGTTTATGAATGTGTGTGTGTTTCTCTTTATATCAGTCTGTGTTACAGAAAAGTTCCTCCTTAATTTCATGATTTAGTCTATGTATTCTGATTATTAAATGTTTTATATGAAGGAATCATTCAGTAATAAAGTTATTTTTGCTATGATCTGGTGTTCTGTGGGTTTCTGTCACTCTTTTGCTGACTCTGTGTGTGTGTGTGTGTG